TCTCCTCTGTGCCCCTATTGCTCCCCATTTTGTTTGTGTGTGGTTTTTTGTTTTTGGTACCGGGGATCAAACTTGGACCTTGTGCTTGCAAAACAGGTGGCAGAACCACTGAGCTAAATCCCTGGCCCCTTGATTATGTCTTGTATCACTAGAACAACAACTGTGCCTGATACCTAGCCGGTGCCCGTGTGTTGAGCCCTCACAACCTAGAAGGCTGTGGGTACTACGACACGTGTTCCCATTTTATAGATGAGGAAACTGAGGCTCAGAGAGATGAAGAAATTCCTGGTTAATAAGTGGAAAGCCAGACCAGAACTTGAACCTCAATTTGACCCGCAAGCTGAGGCTTTTAGTCATGATGCCCACGCTGCAGTCGGCCACCTCTGCGTCCCTCCTTGACACCTTCACAGTCACAAGGCTCTGCGCCTGCTGACTCCCTTATCCTTGCCCATCAGTGAACCCACTGCTGCGTCCTCAGTGGGCCTTCCCGGCCCCGAGTCAGATTCCTGCCCTCTCTCCTGCTCTCCTGTAGGTTGAATCTTGCCCCACTGGGTGGTCAAGACCTGAGAATTTTGCCTTCTCCTCCACTTGGCAGATCCCTGACCTCCTCCGCCTCTATTCTGGGGGCCCAGCAGAGGGCGTGGCCAACACCAAGCACCCGACAACTGTCCGAGAAATGCATCTTCCCGATACATTCCATCTGGTGTCGCAGACGAAGCAAGCTGTGAATTTTAAGAGCACAAAATAACAGACGAGTTGCCAATGGAACGAGGTTACTGCCAAAGTTGTTCTACTCCATAATTCACCCAACGATCACCTTTCAAAGGGCTCTGCACACTGGGAATGGCAGGAGTGTGGAGCCGACAGACTCCTGGGGGTGAGGAAGGAGCCCAGTGTGGGGAATCAGAGGGGCTGGGCTGTCATCTGCACCTCTTCCGGGGTGACTCTGAGCCTCAACAGCCCTGGGGGTGGCGTCAGGCCCTCTCTCGTGGAACTGGTGTGAGGACAGCGGAAGTGCAGGGTGAGGCAGAAAGTTAGACATTAGGCTTTGCGACAGGTGGCTGGGGCTACTCGAAAAGCATAAAAAAAAAAAAAAAAAAAAAAAAAGAAACCAAAAAGATAGGGCCCTGCCTTCTTGAAGTTGCCAGCCTCACAGATGGCAGGGAGAATTAAGAAAGATGTGTGCAAAGCAGCCCATGTCTGCTGAGTCGGCCCCACTTCCCAGGTGAGAAAACAGGGTCACGGAGGTCACCCAGACAGAGATCACCGGGCACTGGTGCCTGTGCCCCAGGCTCCCAGCCAGTCCCCTGCTCACCGAGGACAGTGTTCTCCGTGGTCAGCTGGTCCTTGGTCTCCTGGAACTCGTGGCGCACCTGGGCCAGCTGTGCCTCGAAGGCGTCCTTCTCCATCTCCTTGGCCAGCTGCAGGCTCTGCAGCTGCTCCTTGAGGTCCGTGATCTCGTCCACCTGCTGGTTGAGTGTGTGCTTGAGGAAAGCCACAATCTCCTTCTTGTGGTTGGCCAGCTGCTCAAACTCCTGGCGGGACAGCCTCTCCTGTGAGGCCAGCTCGTCCCACTTCCGCTGGTACCTGGGGCGGGGGCGGGCAGAGGGCCAGGGCTGGGGCCAGGCAAGCCAGACCTTTGGTGCTGGGCCTGCTGTCCTGGGCACTCACACCTCTTTCCTGGCCATAACGGGCATTAGACCTTCTTCATCTCCTCTGTGCCCCTATTGCTCCCCATTTTGTTTGTGTGTGGTTTTTTGTTTTTGGTACCAGGGATCAAACTTGGACCTTGTGCTTGCAAAACAGGTGGCAGAACCACTGAGCTAAATCCCTGGCCCCTTGATTATGTCTTGTATCACTAGAACAACAACTGTGCCTGATACCTAGCCGGTGCCCGTGTGTTGAGCCCTCACAACCTAGAAGGCTGTGGGTACTACGACACGTGTTCCCATTTTATAGATGAGGAAACTGAGGCTCAGAGAGATGAAGAAATTCCTGGTTAATAAGTGGAAAGCCAGACCAGAACTTGAACCTCAATTTGACCCGCAAGCTGAGGCTTTTAGTCATGATGTCCACGCTGCAGTCGGCCACCTCTGCGTCCCTCCTTGACACCTTCACAGTCACAAGGCTCTGCGCCTGCTGACTCCCTTATCCTTGCCCATCAGTGAACCCACTGCTGCGTCCTCAGTGGGCCTTCCCGGCCCCGAGTCAGAGTCCTGCCCTCTCTCCTGCTCTCCTGTAGGTTGAATCTTGCCCCACTCGGTGGCCAAGACCTGAGGATTTTGCCTTCTCCTCCACTTGGCAGATCCCTAACCTCCTCCGCCTCTATTCTGGGGGAACAGCAGAGGGCGTGGCCAACACCAAGCACCCCACAACTGTCCGAGAAATGCATCTTCCCGATACATTCCATCTGGTGTCGCAGCAGAAGCAAGCTTTGAATTTTAAGAGCACAAAATAACAGACGAGTTGGTTGCCAATGGAACAAGGTTACTGCCAAGTTGTTCTACTCCATAATTCACCCAACGATCACCTTTCAAAGGGCTCTGCACACTGGGAACGGCAGGAGTGTGGAGCCGACAGACTCCTGGGGGTGAGGAAGGAGCCCAGTGTGGGGAGTCAGAGGGGCTGGGCTGTCATCTGCACCTCTTCCGGGGTGACTCTGAGCCTCAACAGCCCTGGAGGTGGCGTCAGGCCCTCTCTCGTGGAACTGGTGTGAGGACAGCGGAAGTGCAGGGTGAGGCAGAAAGTTAGACATTAGGCTTCCCGACAGGTGGCTGGGGCTACTCGAAAAGCAAAGGAAACACAATGTTTATCCTTTATGTTTATCTTAATCATTAGGTAAAAGCCACACAAGCTTGTGGTTTTAAACTTTAACTCAAGAGAAGGTAACATCCTCTGCATGTGCTGATAAGGTCCTGGCCGGTACAGAGTCCAGACCACGGGTGATGCCAAGGAATTGGAAAAACCTGAATGTCTCAGAACAAACCAAACCCAAAACATCCACCTGTGGAGTAAATAAGGACCTAGAAGGTGAACACAGCCTGCTTTCCCTGTGAAGAGCAATGACCTGGGAGAAAAGAAAGGCAATTCCTTGACAGATTCAGTTGAGGGAGGGGGACACGGGGGTGCACGCCTGTAATCCCAGCACTCCGGAGGCTTGTCCGTGATCTCGTCCACCTGCTGGTTGAGTGTGTGCTTGAGGAAAGCCACAATCTCCTTCTTGTGGTTGGCCAGCTGCTCAAACTCCTGGCGGGACAGCCTCTCCTGTGAGGCCAGCTCGTCCCACTTCCGCTGGTACCTGGGGCGGGGGCGGGCAGAGGGCCAGGGCTGGGGCCAGGCAAGCCAGACCTTTGGTGCTGGGCCTGCTGTCCTGGGCACTCACACCTCTTTCCTGGCCATAACGGGCATTAGACCTTCTTCATCTCCTCTGTGCCCCTATTGCTCCCCATTTTGTTTGTGTGTGGTTTTTTGTTTTTGGTACCGGGGATCAAACTTGGACCTTGTGCTTGCAAAACAGGTGGCAGAACCACTGAGCTAAATCCCTGGCCCCTTGATTATGTCTTGTATCACTAGAATCACCTGCAGCCTCAGGCATGGGCAGAGGGCTGCCGCGCACTTGGCACCCTGAGACTCGGGCTGGCGCCTCACATTTGGGAGGAAGCTCGTTTTAAAACAGGAAAAAAATAAATAAATAAAAAATTTAAAAAAAAACCAGGAAAAAATGAAAACAAACAAATAAATAAAACAGGAAGAATGACGGGCACGCATCTCTAAACTAAGGGTTAGAGGATCCCCTCCTCACCAAACACGCCACACCCAGAACCAG